CTATAAGTAGCACTTGTCTTCCTCTCAGCTCTGACACAGGTTGGGTGTCCAGACTGATACAGTAGGAAAAACCAAGTTACCCATAAAGTTCTTTTTCTCCTGTAATTGTGAGGTCAGGCTGGGCACTGAACTCAAGCAGGGTCCACAGAAATACAATAAATTGAGCCATGAGGCACCTGAGACCCCTATGAAAATTGAACAGCATTTCCCCAATGTGCAGTTTCCAGAGACCTACATATATTTTAGGATGGTACCTGGATGAGGTTAGAAAATCAGAGACTGCAGTTGCTATATTCAGTTCCTACAGGAACACTTTGCCCAGATGCATACTCTGATTAAACACAGAATCATAGAAATGTAGGACTGGGAGGGACCTCAAGAAGTCATCAAGTCCAGCCCCCTGAGCTATGTTAGGCCCAAGAAAACCTAGACCATCCTTGAGAGATGTTGGTCCTCCTTGTTTTTAAGTACTTCCAAAGATGGGGACTCCACGACCTCTCTTGGAAACCTATTCCAGAGCTTAAACTACTCTTATAGTTAAATCTCCCTTGCTGCAAGTTAAGCCCATTACTTCTTGTCCTACCTTCAGTGGACATGGAGAACAATTGATCACCATCCTCTTTATAACAGCCGTTACCACACTGGAAGACTTAGCAGGTTGTCCCTCAGTCTTCTTTTTTCAAGCCTAATTATGCCCATTTTTTTAAGCTTTCCTCATAGGTCAGGTTTTCTAACCCTTTAATCATTTTTGTTGCTCTTCTCTGGACTCTCTCCAATTTGTCCACATCTTTCCTATATTGTGGTGCCTAGCTGGGGCCTCACCAGTGCTGAGTAGAGCAGGACAATTACCCCATGTCTCACATACAACACTCTTGTTAAAACACCCTGGGACAGGGAATGTTTAGATAGACACGATCAGGTTTATTTCTTTTATTTTGGCTTGTGGATTTCCTCTGTGCTATTTTTGTTTTGTAATGTAAACCTGGACTCCAGGGATCCATTCCTGGTGTTTAACCCCTTTTCAGTTACTCTATAAAATCTAGCAATAGCCTGATTTTCCAGATGTGTTTCCTTTCTTCTTTTTTTAAAAAAAAATTACCTTTTTTAAGAAACTGATTGGTTTTGTGTCTTAAAAGATCTGTGCATACGTTTTTTCAATTAGCTGGTGGCAACAGCTGGGTTTCCCTTGTTTGTTTTCTTTCTCTGCTTCCCCGAGGGAGGGGTGGAAAAGCCAAGAGGCCTCAGGGAAAACTTTCCAAGTGAGTTTTTCCACGATTTGCAAGAGGCAGTTTTTCACTTGGGTGGTAGCAGCGTTTACCAAGCCAAAGTCAGAGAAAACCTGTAATCTTGGGAGTTTAATACAAGCCTGGAGTGCCAAGTATTAATTTTTAGAATCCCTGCGGTCCCCCACCTTCTGCACTCAAAGCGCCAGAGTGGGGAATCTGCCTTGACACCTCCCTTTTCAAATTCAGCTACCAATATCTTTGAGAGTTGTATTAAGGCAAAAAAGGAGGGCCCTGAACCTCCAGCATTTGTGCCCAGAAGACACAAACAAAAACCTGCAATGGGATTGGTTGATGAGAAAGTGAAGATAGATCCTGCAGGTTCCAGTAGCAAATTCACCCTAAATGACAGCCTGGATTACAGAGGTCAAAGATTCAATGTGGAAAATAAACCTAACATTTTTTGTGTCTTTCAGGCCCAGCATCTGTGGAAGCTACTAGAGGCCTTGAAAACTACAAAATATAAGAACATAAAAACAGCCATACTGGGTCAGACCAAAGGTCCATCTCCATGAACTTACCTAGTTCTTTTTTGAACTCTGTTATAGTCTTGGCCTTCACAACTTCCTATGGCAAGGAGTTCAACAGGTTGACTGTGCATTGTATGAAAAAATACTTCCTTTTGCTTGTTTTAAACCTGCTGCCTATTAATTTCATTTGGTGACCCCTAGTTCTTGTGTTATGAGAAGGAGTAAATAAACAAACACTTCCTTATTTACTTTCTCCACACAAGTCAGGATTTTATAGACCTCTATCATATCCCCCCGAGTTGTCTCTTTTCCAAGCTGAAAAGTCCCAGTCTTATTAATCTTTCCTTATATGGCAGCCATTCCATACCCCTAATAATTTTTGTTGCCCTTTTCTGAACCTTTTCCAGTTCCAATATATCTTTTTGAGATGGCGTGACCACATCTGCATGCAGTATTCAAGATGTGCGCGTACCATGGATTTATATAGAGGCAATATGATCTTTTCTTTCTTATTATCTCTCTCTTTCTTAATGAATCCCAACATTCTGTTCGCTTTTTTGACTGCCACTGCACATTGAGTGGATGTTTTCAGAGAACTATCCACAATGACTCCAAGATCTTTCTCTTGAGTGGTAACAGCTAATTTAGACCCCATCCTTTTAGATACACCTCTACCTCGATATAATGCTGTCCTTGGGAGCCAAAAAAAATCTTACCGCGTTGTAGGTGAAACCACGTTATATCGAACTTGCTTTGATCCGCCGGAGTGCGCAGCCCCCCCCTCTCCCGGAGCGCTGCTTTACCGCGTTATATCAGAATTTGTGTTGTATCAGGTCGTGTTATATCGGGGTAGAGGTGTATATAGTTTTCCATATATAGATTATGTTTTCCAATGTGCATGACTTTGCATTTACCAACACTGAATTTCATCTGCCATTTTGTTGCCCAGTCACCCAGTTTTATGAGATCCTTTTGTAGCTCTTCTCAAGATAGTTAAGCCCCAAGCAGACTGCATAGTTTTGAATCATCTGAAAATGTTGCCACCTCACTGTTTACCCCTTTTTCCACATCATGTATGAGGACCTTCCCTCTTATCCCATGACAGCTTACTTTGCTTAAGAGCCTTTGGTGAGGGACCTTGTCAAAGGCTCTCTCAAAATCTAAGTACAGTATACCCACTTGATGACCCCCTCAAAGAATTCTAGTAGACTGCTGAGGCATGATTTCCCTTTACAAAAAACACGTTGACTCTTCCCCAACAAATTATGTTCATCTATGTCTCTGACAATTTTGTTCTTTACTGTAGTTTCAACCAGTTTGCCCGGTACTGAAGTCAGGCTTACCGGCCTGTAATTGCCGGGATCATCTCTGGAGCCCTTTTTAAAAATTGGCGTCACATTAGTTATTCTCCAGTCATTTGGTACAGAAGCTGATTTAAATGATAGGTTACAAACTACAGTTAGTATTTCTGCAATTTCACATTTGAGTTCCTTCAGAACTCTTGGGTGAATACCAACTGGCTCTGGTGACTCATTACTGTTTAGTTTGTCAATTTGTTCCAAAACTACCTCTAATGACACCTCATATTAAACCACCTGAAAAATTCTCCAAAATCAGGGGGGGGAGGGACTGAGACTAATTGTTCTGACCATAAATTCGTTTTTGGGATTACTTGCAATTTGACAGAATGCATGCTAGAGTGAAAGGAGAAAGGAGTTTTGCCATGTAATATTACTAGGCTTGAGTTAATTAGCGCAGGAGACAGTGTCTACAACCCAAGGGAGATGAAGTCACATCTGCACCATAGAGAACCCTGTGGTCTCCTTTACTATCAGAAAAAGGCTTCCTTAGACTTTTTGAGAGAGAGAACACTCTTCTCAACCTGACAGCTCTTTCAAGATGCAGGGTTTAGCAATCTTACCAAACTGAAGAAATCTGAATGAACTAGAGAGTGACAATCTGTTATCCTGTCAGAAAGCCTTGGATTCTCAAGCAAGACTTCCCTTGTTAAAAATAAATGATCCTAGAAACATTTCTTAAGCACCCAGCATGAGCCTGGAATTCTCAGAGACTTCAGGATGCGAGACAGTGATTCTCTAAAAAGGAGATTTCCAAGAGCAACAGGCTCTATGCTGGCTGCTATGGAGACAGCTATAAGCATTTCCTTCTGATCTAAATCATATCTCGTAAATGCCTCACCCTTTGTAAGGCACTCTCCCTTCATTGTGGTGAGAGTCAAGCCTCTGGAACCATCTCAAGGTTGTACAGATCCAGAAATGTATTAGGGCTCTCCTGAAAGCAGTTTTAACCTTACTTTCCAAAGGGTTCTTGGAACAGATGCTCCATGGACCAGCAGGGCAGATATGAATCATATATGACATCTAATACTTGCACCCTCCCCTAACAACTGCTAACCAGTGTCTTGCATTTTTCTCTTCTATCTTAGACTATAAACTCTTTAGGGAAGGGAACATGACTATTTGTACAGCACTATGCAAACACACAATGCTATAAAAATGATTTTTAGTACCACTCTACACAAGACAAGGTACATAAAACATTAAAAGAAAATCTAGCTAAGAGCTCCACTGAACAGACATGTTTCCTTTACTCGAGATAGGAAAATGAATTTGATTGCTCAGACAGAACTGACCCTCTAACAAAGCAGATGACATCACAAATTTGGCTGAGTTCTCCTGCCTCCTTCTGCAGGTAAGAGATCATAGTGTCCAGTGTTCAGAATGGTCTGAACGATGCAGGATGACCACCACCTGATTATGCCAGTGAACCACCCTGCTCTCCAGGTATTATGTTGCTGCACTCAGAGCTTCACCCAGGGAGCTGCAAAATGGCAGAGCAGCAAAGTCCTTTCTTCGGTGGAATTTTATGGTGAACAAAACAACATTCTGTAAGTTCTGGATTTTACAGTGGGCCAAATTCTGCTCTCAGATCCGAGTGCACAGGACTTCTACAGAATGCAATATAAACCTTTTGCACATATCTGCAGGCAGAATTTGACCAGGGTATTCCTTCCCTTCAGAGCCCCCTAGCTGGTGAGCAGGACCAGGAAACCTGCTCAGATTATAAATCTACAGTGACTGCAGTGGAGTACCCCACCCATACCCCAGGTCTCTACAGGCCCTAACAAAATTCAAGCAACACTGAGTAAAAGTGGTGAGAAAACAAGTATTATAAGCCATTGATCTTAGGTACCTTATATAATGCAAGGAAAGGGGGAGCTACCTACTCTTTTTGAAGCTTTTGGATTGAGGATGGGGTTGAAATCCTCCTGCTGGAAGACCGTAGGTGCTCATGCGCTGCACAAGGCTTGCTACAGTTCCATGCCTCTCCCTCTTGATTGGCAAACCATCATCCTTAGGTTCTGGGTCATTCTTAACTTCCTGGTGGAAAAGAGAAGGCAGAACAAATTTACAAAACTGAGGGGTAATTTACGTTCAACGAAAGATCATAGGGTTCTTTGTGAGACATTCCCTATTCTACTGTAGACTCAAGTACTCGTTGTTCCATGGTGTAACGGGTTGTATCGGAAAAAACACTTTCCAGTTATACATCATCATCCATCATCCAAGCATCTCACCGTACTTTAACATGAATCCTCTCTACACCCTTGTAAGTTAGATGTTATATCCAATTTACAAATAGGTAAACTGAGGTACCCAGAGAGTCCAGAAGCAGGAAAAGAAACCAAGTGTCCTGAATTCTGGTCTACTACTCCAATCTCTATAGAAAAACAGCTGCATTGCACTGAAAGCTGGCGAAATCAATATAAAAGCTACATTACAACATATTTATGCTTCCACAGAGGTCAGTATTTCAATGTAAATTGTGAAAGAAGTGGAAGAATTTAAAAATATTTTCCGTATCATCTACTCTTTTTAGCATTTATATTATAGCAGTTCCTATAGTCCTCAATCATCAACCCATGGTGCAGGGTCTTTTATAAACCACGCAATAAGAAAGAGAGTCCCTGCCCCAAAGAATTTACAGTCTTGGTTAATGACAAGATGCAATGATGTATAAAATAAACAGGAGGAAAGAGAAGATGAGCTAACACTAAATATAAGCATGTTTATGCATAGATTTTCTGAACATTTAGATTGCCAATGTTCTTTCCTGATATAAAATGTTTAACATCTAATTTGGAAACAGCCCTGCAGTAAAGCCATAGGCCTGATCTGATGGCACAGGAGAGCTCCATAAATAAGAACCAACATTTTTTGACAGAAGAGACTCAATTTTTTCAGCAATTAATCCAGTGAATCAGGTCACTTAAACACCAGAGTGCTTTTATTTGTAAAAAGAATTACTATTTTGAATAAAGTAAATATGCATCCTGAAAGTTTATTGTGTGCTCAGTAGTTCCTGACAAGCTACTAGAAAATATAAAGAGAAACTCTTGCATATAACATCAGCACTGAACAGTTATCACCTCCACTAGTGAATTCAGCAACCAGTGCTGTAGAATTAGATGTTGTACTTAAAATAACAGAAAAACAGTTGAAGCAATGCACATTTATTTACTAAGTGATATCAGCTGAATCCTTAAATGGGGGCATGAGTCTTGTGTTTAGTGAAGTTATATTTCAATATATAAACATTAGACACAGATCCAGCAGGAAATATATGCAGCCTTCCATGTGATGAAAATCCAGAGCTGTGGTTCCTAGCAGAGTTACTCAGCTGGGCTGGAGAGACATTGAGACTCTCCAGGTCTAATATGAAAAGGATAAGGCTTGCACGTCAAGGAGATTCTCTTCATCACTTCCTGTTGGAAACGTGATTCACAAAAATCAAACTGAGATCAATGTTCATAATTTTTTTGCGGGTAAGGGAGTTCCATTCCTCCCTGGTCTATTCTATGAACCCTCCTGCTTGCCTGCCTGCCTGCCCAGCAGTAGCTACACTGAAAAAAATTCTCTTCCTCTTCCAAAGTCCACAGAGAAGTCCCAGACAGTGAAGCTGCCTTGATATCATAGTGCTGGGCACCAACATAAACCCCTAGAATGGAGATTCTCTCACCTTCTCCCGTTATTTCTTTTTTTCTTGGCCCCCTGAAAGTTTCATTCACTCCCTGGCACTGTGTAGATTCAAGGACTTACCAGTAAACACAAAAAAGTTTATGGCAGAACCCGAAATAAAACCTAGGTGCTTATCCTGCAAGACTAACTAAGTCAACAAGATCATTTATCTGTATTTACTTGAAAATTTCCTTCTTTCTAGTAGGATGGTTCACAGAACGACAATGGATCTTCAGTCAGCTTGCAGCTTTGGGGACAGAACCAGATTCATTCATCACCAGCAGCAAGGTAACAACAGAATATTGGAGACTATCAGTTTGCAAGAGGAGCCTTTGCTACAGAATCTACCTAGTTGGCTGGCTAAAGAATAAGTACAGGTTTCCATAGAGGCATAGGGAGCTCTCCTGCACTTTGCCATCTACTCCATGCTCTGTGTGGGACTACAGAGGCAGCAGCTGCTGCTGTACTTCAGTGAGAGAGAAGAAGGCTAGAAGAGGGCAAGGGAAACTCTTTCACAAGCAGCCCAGCTAAAGCTTGAGCCAGTTATTCCAATGGGGGGGGGGGGGAAATCAGAATTTGTTAAGGTATGCTTTGCAGCAGGGACATCCAAAAAAACCTGCAAGTAACTGAGGGGGTGCAACTAACCAGGCAGGCTCTTCGGTGGGACAATACCTGGCTGCCAGTGACGGGTAAGTCTGGTTTTGCCACCATAGCCTCTTCTATAATTTAAGACATCAGTGGGGCTTCCGCACATCAGAATGGGATTACTCACATGAATACCTGTTCCAGGACTGGGCTGTGTATGCACCAGTTATGTGTAGCACTTCACAAATAGTATTAATTAATCTTTACCATGCCCCTGTGAGGTATGCATTTTTACCACCATTTTACAGATGGAAATGTTGAAGCACTGATATTAAGCATCTTGTTCATGGCCCCAGATGAAGGCCACATCCGAGCCAGGATTCAAACGCAGGTTCCTGAGTCCCAATCCTGTGTTCAGTCCACTTGACCATAAATCCATATTTCACATCAATACACTGACAACAGGCAGAAAAACAATAAGAAACGGTTGCTATATTCATGTCAACTTTATTTTAAATTAATCATAAAACTTTGGGATCCACTAAAATCTTTATCTGTTTCCTGCATATATGCAATTTCTGAACATCTGTGCAGAATCTGATGATAATACTACTTTTCATTCCTAGAGTAACAGAAGAACTGTAATTTCCAAACCATTCCGTATCAGAATCAGAAACCTCTGAATTTTGGGTAGTATTTTATTCATTTTAATAAAGTTCCTCTATCAAAGCTGTAACAGCAAAGTGACTGACAAAACAGTTGGCTTGGCATGGCCTTAAGTGACTAGAAAGTTCCAGCATTTAGAATCCTTCGAAGTTTTAAGTTTACTTATATTAATTTAATTCACATTTTATTTTTTAAAAATGCCCAACAAGAGGACCTTTTAAAGCAACTTATATTTTAGTTGTAACGGATTTTATTAATTAATAGGGTATAATTGGAATGGGTACCCTTCATATTGTGCAATTTTAGACAGAAAGATTTGTATTTCAAAAGGTGCAGAGGACACTTGCCCTTCAACTGCATGCAAGTCGGATTTCAGCTTACAAGCTGCGAAGAAGACTGAAACCCCACTTTTCTGGACCTGGCTATGACCAATGTCACACCACAAGATCTCCCTGCAGGAACTGAAGTTTCAAGGTAGGCACTTTAGTAAAAAGGCATTTTATACATGGAATTCAATGCACATGTCTTAAAAAAAAAAAATCAAGTCCTATAACCACCTTGATTGCATTATGACACATTTCTACGCCTCAGAACTACTTGGCTTGTTATGAATTGAAGCATCAACATCTGCCAGTAAACAGGAATATAAGGACAGAGTACAACATTATTCATAGCTAGAAATTTACGAATCTATTTTATGGCTGGCATTAAGGACTGTGTCAGCATTTCCATTAGTAACACAGATTTTATGCATTTATAACATGGCTCCACAAGTTCACTACAGAGTGCATCTCGGCATAAAAAGTCTCAGCTTGGGAGTGACCTCCCACTCCTTTCCTCTGCAAGCTATGGGTCTGGCCACTAATTTTTATAAATAATAGATAAATCTTCTTTAAACAAATATATTAATAACAATATCTCTATAATATACTCAATGATTTATATACACCTTATTTATTTACATACACACAAATATACACACAATATAGAGAGAGAATTAGTCGTAACATTTGTCAATTCCTATTCCAACTGTCAACAACTTAACTACAACTCTATACAATAAAAGCAAAAAGCACAATCACGAAAACGGAACCAGACCCAACCAAATATGAAAGAAGAATTGTTTCTTGGTATTTTACACAAAGAAAGTTCTAATTGTATGTCTAAGAAGTCCACTGAAAACAGTGTAAAGGAACATCCCCACCCCTGATGTCTAGAGACTGGATCAAGATTAAAGATTGATTAAAGTTCTCAAGTAGCATAAAATACACTCATATCCAGGAAGTCCAGTTGAATGATTCTACAAATTCAATAACTAAATCCTGTTTGTCACAGGTTTTAGTGCCTCCTTCCCCACCAAAAAAATAAGCAGTAGCATAGCACTGATAAGCAAACAATCTATGGGTGGACAATCTTAATTTCTGCTGGGCAGAAAATGGGAGCCTCAGTATTAAATCAACTTCTTCAGTTTCCATCTTCACCTTTCATTCTGCAAAATTCTTTCACTCAAAACTTGAGTAAAATGTAACTACCAAAAAATATATTCGAGTCAGCAGAAACTCCCGTTAAAGAAGAACTAAAACATTTGTTTCCTAAAAATACAAAAATAACTGTCTCCATATATCCATTGAAGGATCTAAGTTTATACTAAAAAAATTTCAAACTAATTTGAGAAATATGTTTGTTCAGGACTTCAGTCACAATACCAGCGGTAAATACGACAGCTTGAACAGCTTTTCAGTCTAATAATATTTAAATCAACTCCAAGCCCCTCAACTATGGGTTTCAGTGCCATCCAGACACATCACTTCAGTTCCTTCTTGAGCAGGAAGCAGAGATTCCCAAACTCTATATGTAGACCCCACAAAATACTAATCTGGGGGTAAGACTAGAAGAGTTACATATTTGTGTTTATTATACAAGGCAGGGTATTCATTTATTTCTTCTCATTTTTCAACTGTAACTATAGATGTCTATCCTGAGACTTAGGCACATAGCCCATAAATTAAAACCACAAAATAAGCAAGAGACTGCCCATAAATATATTCACATCAGCTCCCTACTCGACATCCTTAGATAAGATTAAAATAACTGGGTCCTAAATTTTAGCT